CCGGAGCAGCTGGCTGCTCAGAGCACGCTGATGGCAGAGTGCGCTGCCCAGGGTTCCGCAGTGCATTGCAAAGGACCCGGGGTAGTCAGGAGCCCTGAGTGCCTTTGAATCGCCAGGCCCCAGGGCAGTTGCCCCCTTTGCTTCTCCTCACCTCCCCCCATCAGAGGGCCTGGTTCACATGAGTTACTGGCAGGAGTGAATACAAAGAGGGAAACATTCAAATTAAGTTGGGAACAGAATTGATCAGGTTCTACCTGTCTATGAGGTTCTTGTAATAGCATACAAAGAGACCAAATTGGGCTTTTTTTAACCAATTTTCCTAGTGGTTCCAGAAATAATTTACTCATTTTGTAACTTGTATTTCTAGCACACAGTGAAGATCATTTCAGATGTCTGACCCATTTGTTTTTCTTATTTTCCATCCTTTAGCTATAGAGGTGGTAATCACAGAAGAGCCTAAAAACCTCTGATGGGGCACCAATAATTTGGTGACTATGCATATGTCAAGTAATCCCAGGATATTCACTCAGATGTATGTATATCAGATAATCTACATTAAAATAATACTTTAATCTGCATAACAATGACTCAGTAACAGATGCCTGATACGTGTCCTTTAACTCCAAGACAGTCGATTTCTATTACATGGAAAGCTAAAAAATTGAAGACATTGAATATTTTAAAATCAGTGGCCTACATTATTTTTATAAACATAATCATGCATTACAAAATATTAGGTATTCCTTTGAAATACTGATGTGGTTCAGGACCGAAACAGTGACGTAAACAGAGTGAGGAACGAGTAACTTTGGATATCATGGAGCAAGCTGGTAAAGTTAGCGAGCTTGAAGGTGCTTAGTCTCTTGCAGGGTTAGCTCCTCATGAGTCAATTCATAATGTTCTCTGTATTTTATTCAATTGCTGTGCCAGGTGAAGGAGAAGGAAATGATCTGAACAGCAAAGGTACCACGTTAAGACGTAGATAATTGGTGTAGAATTGTAGGTGACTGACATGTCTTTTTTTCTGTGCAAAGGCCCAACACGAGGCCTGCCTGCCATTTAATTCTCTGCTCAGCCCTCAGAATAAGACTGAAGCTCCTTGCATTTTGTTTTCTACAGACTGTAGTGAGTATATGCTGTGCATCCACCTCCCATTCTAGGAACAATCTTCCGCTTCCCAGGACTTGGTTTTTCATTAAATCCTAAATTCACTTGGCTTGCCTGAGATCTGTGATCACTTGTATCGTTCCTACTACAATTAATTTGAATAGCTTGCTCACAACAAGAATTTTCCTCTAGAAACAAACCAGCACCAATGAAGGCAACCATGTTCTTAATAGAAGACTTTATCTCAGGTATGCATTTCCATAACATGGGAAAATGTCCATTGCAAAATGGTAGGCTATGAATGCTTGCATAATGAAAAACGATCTTTCCTCAAAAAACTAAGCTGCAGCGTAATAAGCCACCAGATTCAACTTTTGCTGTATGGTTAACATGCTAGGGCATCTTGTTCTAATGAATACATTGTGAATCTCCTACAGAGGAAGATAAAGCGCACTGACAACTGCTGAAAAACTAGAACAAAATTGGATTTCAATCGAGTATTATAGCTGAAGTCCCTCAGTTACCTATTTTAGCATTTATACTCAGGTTGTGTCGCTTTGCAACATTATTGCTCATTTATTTTTTCCATTCCCAATTTTATGGTGAATATTGCATGCTGTCTATATGTTCAAGGAATCAATTCCAGATAAATAAATCTAATACATTCCCTCTGCGAAGAGAGAGGGAGAGAGACCCACTTTTCAATGGCATAGTATTACAGACATGAAAAGGAAACTGAATACATCAATTAAAATACCAAAAAAAAGTAGCGAAAGTTCCCAGACCAAAACTGACTAAAAAACTCAACACTGTCCTTATAGAATGCACACTTAGATCTACAGAATGAATGAAAAACAATTTAATGGCCCAAGAAGATTACTTTCTTCCCATTACAGTTAATAACACTTTTCATTTTTTTATAGTACAAAGTGATTTACATGCAGACTGAATAAAAATTAAGTTATATAACTAAAGTCAATATAACAGTGACAGTTTCAATCAGCCAAAAATTTGCCCCTTAAGAAGTGTATTTGCTACGCTGTTGACTGATTTTCATACCACTAATTTTGGAATTTTAAAATCTTTTGATTCACAGAATTTAGGAGCTTAATCTTTCTGCATTCTGTTCTTCTGGCAAAGTGCGTGAACTCTGCACAATTAATAGCTGCAGTATCTAGATTTTTTTCTTTTCTCTCTTCTCCTTTTAACGGAATACACTGAACACAGATGTATGGTGCACTCATAGGCTATGTCTACTCTACGCAGCTTTTAGTGACACAGCTGTGTCAGTTTTAGCAGCACAGTTGTGTTGACACAGCCACGTCGCTAAAAGTCAGGCTGTGTAAACACTGGGTATATCTACACTACTACGTTTTGTTGAGGAAACCTAATGTCAGCATGCAGAGGTGGGCAAAAAAAAGTCAAAGTGTGTTTACACTTGCTCTCTCTGGCTACAGATTATGTCCATATTTTTAGTACTTGGAGAGACGGCCCTGGGGGTGCGCCACAGTAGGTGTAGATGCGTCCCAGCACCGCAGAGCGAATTCTTGATAGCAGTGCATAGGGGCTGTGTATGTGCAGCATGTGGTGCACATGGGCTCCTCCCCTCCCCCTTTCCCCCTGGTACCACCACGCGTGCATGGCGACTCTCCCTTCAGTTCCTTCTCTAGCTGGAACTTGGCATAGGAGAACTACTTTTTTCTTTTTCCTTTTCTTCCCCGAAGTGGAGGGGAGGAAGGGAGGGTAGTGGAGCACCCGCAGGGATGCTCATCTTGAAAAAGGTGTGTTCTGATGCCCATGTAGCAGCAGCAAATATGTCATCGATGGGAACCTTCCTCAGGTAAGCAACCGAGGTGGGCGACCACTCTGGTCAAATGTGCCCAGATTAAGGTAGGTGGTGGTAACTGGTTGAGCGAGTAGTATAGGGTGATGCTGTTGGAAATCCAATGAGATCATCTTGGTGATGATTTGTGGTTTCCCTTGCTGCGATCAGCAATGGAAACGAAGAGTCATGGACATGATCTGAAGGAGTTTGTTCTGTGGATATAGAAGGAGAGCACCCTTCTGGCACCCAGGGTATGCATCTGTGCCTCTAAGGCGTTGGCGTGAGGCTTTGGGAATGTAAGCAGGGGCTAAACTACTGCTTGCTATTAGCCAGGCCAGCTAAAAGGAGAGCGCTCCCCTGGAGGTGGGTGTGTTCTCTCCAGTTGTTTAGCTCTGCAAGATACTTAACTGTTAACGGTTGATATGTAAACACAGCTCATGCCAGGAGGGGGAAGGAATCCGAGGTGTGGCTATGGAAATCCAATTCAGCCAGGGCTGATGGAGGGTCAGTGTTGGGATGGAATGTGATGTATTGTTACTAATTTGGGCTGTTGTGGGCATCACAAATCATGCGACCCCTAAATGTGGGAACTGTAAAATATGACACCAGTGCTTGCAGGAGAGACTCCATTACTGTAAGACATCTCAGATGACCAAGCCTCCCCCTTCCAGAGCTGGGTGTACGAAGCTTGGGGGAAGGGCTTGAGCCAGCCTTGCATCGTGCCTGCCAGGTGTGAGCTGTAAGATTGGCTCAATCTGCCTCTTTCCCCCCTGTTTTAAGGACAGACCTAACGCAGACTCCAGCAGGAGTCCTTTTGCTAGTCCAGTGGAAGCTGGAATTTTTTGCCAGCCTAGGTGATAGCTAAAGAGTTGACATCACTAAGAGCTGAAGTCACTGGTTTGGCCTGGAACCAAACCCATTGCAGCTAGCGGGAACAACTGGCAGGTGGCCAGTAGGAGTGGCAGGCTGGCAGGAACAGGCAGCTGGTAGGAGCGGCAGCACGTGGCCAGCGGAGCGGCTGGTGGGAACGACCAGCGGGCAGCAGGGGCAGCACACAGGTGGCATCACATCAGGCTCTATGAAGGAAGTCATCAAGGTGATGGGTCTGGGTCTGCGCTGACTGGACAGAGCTGTAAGTGGGGAATGGGAAAAGTTTGGGTAAGTGAATGGAGCCCTTACCTTGTTGGACTAGTCAACCCGAGAGGCCAAAGACATTGCTCAATCTATTGAGCTGGGACAGTTACTCATGGGGAGTTCTGAACTCTGTTCACAGTATTTTCCCAAGTTAATGCCATGTCACTTCTCTCTCTCTCTCTCTTTCATTAGAAGTTTATTTCCTACACTCAGACTCTGTGCTTGCGAGTGGGGAAGCATTGCCTCTCAGAGGCGCCCGGGGGTGTGTGAATTTCCCAGGCTACTGGGTGGGGGCTCAAGCCGGTTCTGTGTGAGATGGACCCCTAGATATTGAACCTGTGCCTGGTTGCTGCCGGGCCTACCCGGCAGAAGGCTTACAGGAAGAATACAGGTATGTGTATAGTTTGGTTTAAGTGAAAGAGGGAGTGCACCTTTGGTAGAAACTTGGGGTGCGGTTGCAGAAAGACTTTATCCTTAAAAAAGATGGCAAATGGCGGGTCAGCCATTAGGATGGCCATCTCACCTACTCTACATGCTGACGTTATTGCGACTAGGAATGCTGTCTTCAGGGTTAGATGGAGTAGAGAGCATGTGGACATTGGTTCAAGGGGAGGTTTCGTAAGCATCGTCAGTACCAGGTGTAGATCCCATGGTTATCGAGGAGTGTTAATGTCGGAGTATAGGGCCTGTAGGCCTTTTAGGAAGCGCTTAATTACAGGATGTACAAACACTGCGGTGTCATCACCTGGCGTGTGGAAGGGGGTTACTGCTGCCAGATGGACTCTGATAGAGCTCAGGGAAAGCTTCGATTGCCTGAGATGCAGTATGTAATCTAGGATTGCGAGGGTTGGGGCATCCTGTGGTGATACATTGCAGAAGGCTGCCCAATGTGTAAAATGAGTCCACTTGTTAATGTATATCCTTCTTGTTGTAGGAGCCCTGCCGTGTAAGAGGACGTTGCGCACCTGTTGTGAACATTGCAGCTCTGCGCCTGTGAACCATCGAGGTACCATGCTTTGAGGTGGAGAGTCGGAAATTGAGGGTGAGGGGTAGTGGTCCCTGGCTGAGACAATATGGTCGGGCTGTGTAAAAGGGCGATTGGGTGGTGTCAAGACATTCGGTTTAGGAGGGGAAACCATGGTTGTTGAGGCTGACACGGTGCTATGAGGATAACTCTCACTTTGTCCCTCTGTATTTTTACGAGTACTCGGTTGAGGAGGGGAAAGGTGGGGGGACGCGTAGAGCAAGGGTGCGTCCGATTTGAGGATCTCCAAGGGAGCGTATCCCCATGCCCACTCTGGAGCAGTGCAGCGAGCTTTTCTTATTCACTGTGGTGGCAAATAAGTCCAGGTGGGGTTGTTCCCATCACATGAATGTGTCCCTCAGAACTGAGCTGTCGAGCTCCCACTGGTGCTCTTGGGGTAGGGCCCTGCTGAGGACGTCTGCTGTTGTGTTTGGGACTCTGGGGAGGTGGCACATGCTTATGGAGATGTCGCAGGCGAGGCACCAGTTCCAGAGTGCTGTGGCTTCCCTGCGAAGTCTGAGATCATGCCCCTCCCTGCCTGTTTGTATAAAACACACAGGCTGTGCTGTCCGTTTCTGACATGGATTCGAGCGATGTGGGGAAAGAATTGACGGCATGCCAGCCATCTGGCCTGAGTGTGAGGACACTGATGTGTAGTGTCCTCTCCGCTGTGGTATATAGGCTTTGGGTTGTGAGGTCTTTCATGTGTGTTCCCCACCCGGTGAGAGAAGTATCTGTGGTGAGAACCACTGTGGGTTCTGGATTTTGAAAAGGTTTGCCCCTGCAGACGTGGTTCGGTTTTGTCCACCATTGTAATGATCTTTACCACGTGTGGGAGTGATGGGGACTGATTTGGCTACAACTACTTAAGGGAAAGATCTTGGAGTCACTGTGGAGAGTTCTCTGAAAACATCCACTCAGTGTGCAGCAGCAGGCAAAACAGCAAACAGAATGTTAAGAAAGGGATAGAGGATAAGACAGAAAATATCTTATTGCCTCTGTATAAAACCATGGTACGCCCACATCTAGAATACTGCGTACAGGCGTGGTCACCTCATCTCAAAAAAGATATCTTGGCATTGGAAAAGATTCAGAAAAGGGCAACAAATGCTGAGGGGTTTGGAACGGGTCCCATATGAAGAGAGATTAAAAAGACTTGGACTTTTCAGCTTAGAAAAGTGGAGACTAAGGCTATGTCTAGACTGCTGAGAAAAGTCGGAAAAAGAGACGCAAATTACGCACCTCGATTTGCATATCTTTTTCTGCTTTTTTTCTGAAAGATGCTTTTCTGAAATTTGGACTATGTACCACTGGGCCAAATTTTGGAAAAAAAGTCCTCCTTCGGAAATCCCTTATTCCTCTCACTGAAAGGAATACAGGGATGCTGAAAGAACACGTCCACTTTTTCGGAAACTGTTACGAAAAAGCAGATGCATTCCTTGGATGTGGCAGAGCTTTTCCGGGATGCAGTCTAGACATAGCTTAAGGGGGGGATATGAGAGAAGTCTATAAAATCATGACTGATTTGGAAAAAGTGAATGAGGAAAAGTTATTTACTTATTCCCCCAATATACGAACTACGGGTCATCAAATGAAATTAATATGTAGCATGTTTAAAACAAAGGAAAGTTTTTGTTCACTCAGCGCACAGTCAACCTTTGGAACTCCTTGCCAGAGGATGTTGTGAAGACTAGGACTTTAACAGGGTTCAAAAAAGAGGTAGATATATTCTTGGAGGTCAGGTCTGTTGATGGCTATTAACCAGGATGGGTAGAAATGTCCTTAGCCTCTGTTTGTCTGGAAATAGATGACGGGAGGGATCACATGATGATTACCTGTTGTGTTCCCTCCCTCTGGGGCATCTGGTATTTGCCACTGTTGGCAGACGGGATACTGGGCTAGATGGCCCTTTGGTCTGACCCAGTGTGGCCGTTCTTAGGTTTCCTTGTGGTAAATGCACCTCCATTTGCCAATTCTTTTGCAGTCTCCATATTAAATGAACAATGCTCATACGTTTTCCAAACTGCGTTTCTAAAACCTCACTTTTGGGGTTGCCACCTTTTCTGTTGATGTGCAAACATGGTTTGCAAGAGTCTTTATGCAGAATCATCAGATATGAATTTAACCCCAGTGAAAGGAGATTGGGGCTCTGAGCAGTGCTTAATAGTTACTTGATATTTCTAATAAAAATGAAAAAGTCAGAGATGTCTTAAGTATAAAGAAAACATCAAGGATGATGTCTTGCTTTTCTAGCCTGGAGAGTGTGCATTCTAACATGGGGGTAGTTATAGCTACTCACTTCCCAAGGCAGTGATGGTTATTGCAAAATCTAGGGCTAAATAATCAATTTATGCACAGCCCTTGTTTGGGAAAGCACAGAACCCCTCTAAGGGCATGGGGTATGTGCTGGCTGTTCTTTGCCAGGGCTGTGCACCGAGGAAACAGGCTTGATTTCCCATGGGCACAGGACTGACCCCAGACTGGTGGTGGATCTCTTCAGAGCATTATGTGTATATGCAGATCCCTCCAGGGGCTAGAGTTGTAGTGTCCCTCAAATCCATGGCTCATTTGGATGTTTGAACCTTCCAAAACTCAGTGACCCCTGGACCTCAACAGCAGAGCTTTGTTCCTTTTGCTGCAGGAATCTGTTAGAAAGCTTACAATTAACGTTGTAAATCTCGCCACTCCTCTGGCTGTTCTTGTGCAGAGCTTGCAATTAGTGTTATGAGGAGTAATCTAAATCGGGAGGAGAAAACTTCCAAAAGCTTCCACCAAAACGCTCACCAGACTCAGTAACTGTGAGTGGTTTTTCTTCTAAGATTTGTCAGTTTGTACCTATGGGGTTTCCTAACAGTCATTTAAGATAAAAATAAAATGTGAGAACTAGGGAACTTCCCTGTAAATCACGTAATTGGCCAATGTTGTTCAAAAATAGGTAGCTGTTAATAGTCTTTGGCCTTGCTTACGTTTCTTTAAAGAAAATGTTCTTCCACCAGAGCCGAAATAACATGCATCTTTTTATTGATGCTCTTAATTGTCACAAGGGTCACAGGGTCTTAACACACCACTGACCCTTAGTATTATGCTTAAATTCTTCAGAAATGGACGGGACCACCAGCGAACTGCTGGAGCTTCATTCCACCCCATTACAGCTCACGTCAAGCACTGCAAGCTTAAACCTGGCCACTGTGGCTCTGCCATTGTTTTATCCGTGGTGTGCCTGGATCAGCTGTCGCCATGCGCCATGCATGGGGATGTACAGGAATCCCTGCATGAATGGCTTACTTTGTTCTACTCCCTTAGTACTTTGGGTGTCTGCTTGTGGGAGGAGGGGTTCCTGGGACAAAGTCTGATCATCTTCCTCTGGTGAGAGGCGACTTACGGAAAGCAGACTGAGCTGTGAACGGGAGGAGGACTGGGAAGGCTGAGAGGCCGTTTAAAGCTGGCTCTTTTCCCAATTGAGCCTGCTGGCCAAAATCAGGACTTGGAAGGCTGATGAGAATGTGTCTGCTCCCCCTCTGGATTGGGGCGTTTGGGGTTTTGTGGCATTTGAAAGGTTGTGTCCTGCACTGTATCTCCCATGGGACCGGGCTGCCGAGGGATTGGTTTTTTTCCCACAAGACGCTGTGTGAATAGTTCAGACATTTATAAAGTAAATGGATGCTCCTATTTTTATTTAAACTTCGGGGGTTTCAACTGCTGTCACTCAGAAGTCTAGCCACTGCCATTCCTGAGCTAGTCTGCAATATGGACCATGCCCCGTGCAGCCCTGCATTGGTACCCTGCTGGGGGGGTGGAGCAGCTGCTCAACACGGAGGCCAAAGCTGAACCAGCTCTTCTGGACCAGATGGACTGGATGCCATTTACTGCAGTGACGTCCGGTCCCTCCGGACAACCCAGAGCATGGCCAGGAGGGAGGCGTGGGCCAGAGGCCTCTGGGGTAGCAGCGGGCAGTCAGAGAGAAGCAGAAATTTGAGGGGAAAACGCTGCTTCCCTCCAGCTGCCTGATGCGTGGCTGCCCCCGACTACGTCTGAGTCCTGTAGCCCATGAGGGCTGCTCACTGCTGCATGGTGAGCAGGGGCTGGATGCTGAGCCTTGGGGAGGGGCGAGGAGTGACCAGAAGATAGGGGCAGCAGCCAGACCAGTGCTGAGCTGGGGAAGGCAGCCAGGGAATGGGGCAGAGGGTCAGCCAGACTGGGGCTGAGCTGCGGGCAGGTGTCCAGGGGTTGGGCTGGGGCAGCTGTAGCCCAGCAGCATGCAGCTGCCGCGGGTACCATGAAATGCTGGTTGGCGTGGGGCGGGCAGGCCCCCTGGCCCCTGGGAGTGGAGCTGTCTCAGCGCATAGGAGAGGGCCATTCCCAGGGGCTCTGTGCACTGCCCCAGGTGCTGGCTCTGTAACCCGCGTTGGCTGGGGACCAAGGCCAACAGGAGCTGCCGGGGCAGAGGCAGCCTGCGGAGTTGCCTGGCTGTGCCTCCGCCTAGGAGCCATGTGACATGTCGGCGCTTCCGGGAGCTACCTGAGGTGAGTGCCACACCCTGAAATCCCTCCCACAGCCCATCCCCCAGGCCCTCCCCTGAGCTTTCCTGATCCCCTCCTATGTGTGACCCTTGTGCACTCTGAGCCCCTTGGCCCCAGCCTGGGACCCCGTCTGGCACACCGAGTCCCTCATGCCCAGCCCCACACAGAACCCATATCCTGGGACGGAGCCTCCACCCCCACAGCCCAGCCCCTTGCCCACATCCCCCATTCACCCTAAACCTCTCCTATTTGGCCTCACCCTGGATCCTGCATTCCCAGGCCAGACCTAAAGCTCTCTCCCTATCTCACCCCCCGCCTCAGCCCAGAGCCTCCTCCCACACTCGGAACCCCTCAGCTCCCTCCTGTACCCCAGCCCAGAGCCCGCACCCCAAGCCCAGGGCCTGTAACTCCTCCCACATCCCAACCTCAAGCTGCAGCCAGAGCCCCTCTTACACTCGGAACCCCTTGGCCCCACCCCCTTCTGCAGCCCAAACCCCTCATCCCCAGCCTCACCCCTGCGTCAGTGTCCTCACCCCTCTTGCACCCCAGCCAGCCCGGTGACCATGAGCGAGTGAGGAACGTGGAGAGAGCCACTGAGTGAGTGACTTGGGGGCAGAGCCTCAGAGAAGGACCTCGAGGCAGGGCAAGGGCATTCAGTTGTGTGCAGTCAGAAAGTTGGCAGCCCTAATGTAAGGTAAATAAAGGTAATGGAGGAGACTCTCGAATGAGCAAGAATGTTGTATCGACTGGCTTGAGTACTAACACTGCATTTTCAGTACATAAAAATTAGCGCTGGTTGGAAAAAATGTCTTGACTTCTACATACAAAGAAGAAAAAGTTTTCTCGTGCCTTTTTTAGCAGTTGTGGCAAGTTGTGACAACACTATTTAAATCAGGGTCCCAAAGGACAAAGCTATGGGCCAGCTTTAATTAACTAGCTAATGTTATTGCTACATCATGAAAAAGAAAACAAAAATTAGGTAAAATTGTGATGTGGTTTCAGTGAAGAACTCTGAGAACTCTGTTCTTCGCAGCCAAAAGAGAGGAGATCTTGCTCTCTGATTGATGTTAGAACAGTCATGTGGCGCACAAAAATGTTTCTGCCAATGGAAAGGGTAGTGCATTCTGGTTGAATTACAGGATAGTCAGGTCAAAATTTCAGCTTTATGTTTTCCTGACCTCCCCCTTTCTGTTGTCCATTCAGATCTGGAAAGTGATATGCTGACATAGTTCTGGATTTTTTATGTTGCCCTACTGGTTCTGGGAAACTTGTGACCTCTGTATTTTTAATTACAAGATGTATTTTTTCCATGGCAATCTATTTTAATATCACAAATATAGTGTCTGTTAAATCTCACAAATTCCCAATGAAAAGTTGAGGCCTTGTAGTGGGATACTGTCCGAATATATACAAATACCTGGCAGTTGCAGAAACTGTAGTTTAATGGCACTCAGCAAAGAAGTATTAAAATACAAGTGTTTTCCTTCAAGTGATGTCCCTGTGGGTGCTCCGCTGTGTGTTGGTGCGCCCTCGCACCGACGACCCACGATTTTTTTTCCAGCAGTGCTGCACTGTGCACATGCCCTGGTGCCTCCTCATGCCATCAGTGTTTGTTAGGCGCGTGCGTGGCGTGGCCCCCTCAATTCCTTCTCTACCGTCCTCAGCAGCAGATGGAGCTCTGTTTTCTTGCCCCTTTTTTCACAAAAGTACCAACAAAAAATAGTTAATTCTCCTCAGTTTTCCTTGTCTTTCCAAGTTTTGAATCACACGCAACCCGCTACCTTAAAAAAAAAAAGTCTTTTTTTCCTTCATTCACCTGGACTTCGTGCTTCCTCATGCCTGTACCCCCCAGGCTTTAAATGGTGAGTCCTGCCAAGAGGCTATGCCTGTTTCTGGTAGGCAAGCCTTGTGCATAAAGTGTCTAGGAGACGCCCGTCTGATGCAGAAGTGCGCGCATTGCTCCAATCTTACAGCTAGAGCATGCCGTGATCGCACCAGTAGGTTGAAGACACATCTTTACGAAAAGTCGCTTCAGCCACCACGGGACAGCTCGCCTCTTAGACCTAAACCATCAGACAAGCCGAGAGGTATGGACAGAACGTATCCTCCTGCCTCTTCTGGAAAGTCAAAGGTGAAAACCTGGGTTTCCTCAGCCAGATAGTTACTCCCAGTACTGAGCTCCTCAAGAGTGAGCATCGGTGATAAGCCCGGCACCTCGGATGTGGCACCGCCTAAGTCGTTGGTGCCCCCCAAAGGGCCCACTCCAAGCCCAAACAAAAGCAGTTAGCACCGAAAGCACCGGCTGAATGTGTGATATCTGCTAGAAACATACCAGCACCGCATATAGCACCAGAGATGGCACCAGATGTGGCACTGAAAAGACCCCACACAAAGATGCCTACCCCCAAGGCACTGTCACCAGGGCACCGAGTACCACACACTCAGCCTTGGCACCGCCATTGCAACATGCATGGCACCGGACGCTCCCTTTCATCTGGGCCTCTTTGGCACCACCAGCTCCGAGCTCATTGGTGTGGTCCTTTCACTCACCGAGAGCACCAGTCCCATCCATCTCTCTCAGCGAAGCTGGCACCGAGCCACACGGCAACTTCTCATCTCAGCATTCAAGTCCAACTCAGCGGTACCCACCATGAGAGTCTCACTTCTCCAGACATCCTCACCCTCCTCCACCACTGCCTTGGTACTCAACATTGGCCATATCCACCCCGCTACCCTGGACAGTGGCATCCTTGTGAGTCTTAGTCTTCTCATAGGAGCCTTCCCACTTCTCCATCAACAACACCAAAAAGGCCACCTCAGTCTCCTCAGCCCACACTGTGAGCCACAGCACCGAACTCTCCAGAGCCCATTCAGTCTGACTTGGACAACTCTCTATCAGAGGGGGAAGACGGCCCCCCCCTACAGAATGCCTCCTCTTCACCACATGACGCTATCATTTCTACTACCCCACTCCATCCAACGATTCTAAACAGTTCCAAGAACTTTTTTAAAGAGTAGCCCTGGCATAAGAACAGGATCTGCAGGAAGCGAAAGAGAAACAATATCGCCTCTTACATACTTAACAGTCCCCCACATCCTCCAGGATCACCTTCCCAATGGATGAAGCCATTATGGACTCCGCCAATAACATCTGGCAAACCCCAGTGTCCATTACCCCCATCAGCAAGAGGGCTGACTTAAAGTATTTTATAACACCTAAAGGCATGGACTATTTATACACCTGCCTCCAAACCCCTTAGTAGTCATAGAATGCTAGGGCTGGAAGAGACCTCATGAAGTCATCAAGTCCAGCCCCCTGCCCAAAGCAGGACCAATCCCAACGAAATCAACCCAGCCAGGGCTTTGTCAACCTGAGACTTAAAAACCTCTAGGGATGGAGATTCCACCCCCTCCCTAGGGAACCCAGCCCAGTGCTTCCCCACCCACCTAGTGAAATAGTTTTTCCTAATATCCAACATAGACCTCTCCCACTGTAACTTGAGACCATTGCTCCTTCTTCTGCCATCCCTCACCACTGAGAACAGCCTCTCTCCATCCTCTTTGGAACCTCCCTTCAAGAAGTTGAAGGCTGCAATCAAATCCCCCCTCACTCTTCTCTTTTGCAGACTAAACAGACCCAACTCCCTCGGCCTCTCCTCCTAGGTCAGACACAGGGCAAAACAGCCCAACATGAGGTCCACTCCACAGGGCAAGGACGATGGACATCGTGGGGTCTACTCTTCAGCTACCTTAATTCTTAGAGTAGCAAATTACTCTGCTGTGCTCACCGATTACGATTGCTCTAACCATTTTAAACTTCAAGAGCTCTTATAGTTTCTTCTGAAGCGAAGAGGACGATTTTGCTCAATATCATGCATGAAGGGCATACCATCTTCTGCACAGCATTACGATCTGCCGTGGACATGGCTGACACTGCTGCCCAGATCACAGCCTCGCCTATCATTACGTGGAGAGCATCATGGCTCCAAGCGTCTGGGATACCTGGGGACTTCCAGCAGAAAGTCAAGGACCTTCCCTTTGACAAGACCAAGTTAGGTTCAGCCAAAACAGATGAAGTCCTTCGTTCAGTGAAGGACTCGCATATGACCCTCCAGACTCTGGGCATGTATGTGCCCCCTTTCAAGAGAACAAGGTATAACACCTACCAGAGTCCCAGAGAACCATACTGACCACAGTCCAGATATGTCTTCTACCAAAAACACAGGCTTCTAGAGTGCAGAACTCAGCGCCAGCAACAGCAACCCTTGACATCCCACGCTTCTTCATCAAAGCAGCAGACTTGAAGGTTTGGTCGGGAGCCAGAAAGACATCCCCCTTTGCTGTGACACTAGAAACCGGACAGCTACAGTTCACTTACCACCTCCGGCTCTTTTTACACCAATGGGCAAAAATAACATCAGGCACATGGATATTGGAGCTCATCAAAGTCAGTTACTCCATTCCCTTCGTTTCTTTTCCTCTTACCCACCCTCCCTCACCCGTCCCTGTTCAGGGATCCCTCTCACGAGACCCTCCTTCAGCAAGAGGTCCTCCATTTTTGCAGATAGGTGTGATAGAGCCAGTAACAATGGCCTTCCAAGGGAGAGGGTTTTACTCAACATACTTCCTAACCCAGAAGAAGGATGGTGGATAGAGACCCATTTTAGATTTAAGGAGGCTCAACAAGTATATCACACACAGATGGTTCAGGATGGTAACACTAGCAGCAATTATTACAGCACTAGATCAATGGGACTGGCTTTCGGTTCTTGACCTTCAGGACGCTTATTTTCATATAACCATTCATCCACAGGCGTTTTCTATGACTTACAGTGGGGAACCACCATTACCAGTATCGAGTACTCCCTTTTGATCTTTGAACAGCTCCCAGAGTTCTTTCCAAGACTCTAGCTATTGTTGCAGCATTCCTACGCTGTCTGGGAGTCATAATATTTCTATACCTGGATGACTGTCTCATAAAAGGCACATCCTTCCCGGTAACACAAGACACGCTCAACACTACCACTGATCTTCTACTTTGTCTCGGTTTCCATATCATAGAATCATAGACACTAGAACTGGAAGGGACCTTGAGAGATCATCGAGTCCAGTCCCCTGCCCTCCTGGCACAATCTAGACCATCCCAGTTAGATGCCTATCTAACCTGCTCTTAAATATCTCCAAAGATAGAGATTCCACAAACTCCCTAAGCAATTTATTCCAGTGTTTGACCACCCTGACAGGAAGTTTTTTCCAGTGTCCAACCTAAACCTCCCTTGCTGCAGTTTAAGCCCATTGATTCGTGTCCTATTCTCAAAGGCCAAGGAGAACAATTTTTCTCCCTCCTCTTTGTAACACGCTTCTAGGTACTTGAAAACTGCTATCATGACCCCTCTCAGTCTTTTCTTTTCTAAACTAAACAAGCCCAATTTTTTCAGTCTTCCCTCATAGCTCATGTTTTCTAGGCCTTTAATCATTGTTGTGACTCTTCTCTGGACCTTCTCCAATTTCTCCAGATCTTTCTTGAAATGTGGTGCCCAGAACTGGACACAATACTCCAGTTGAGGCCTATAAATTACCAGAAGACCATGCTCCAGCCTGCTCAAACTTTAGAGTTCATAGCATCACGTATTAACACCATTAAAGCCAGGGCATCTCTACCCATGCACAGATTCAAGGCCCTTCAGAACCTCATAATGGTGGTACGTGTGACCTCCACTACGACGGTCCACGAATGCCTCAAGATCCTAGGGCGTATGGAGTCACCACTTATGTGGTCAGATTGACCAGACTACACATGAGATGCTCTAGGCCTGGCTGGCCACACTCTACACTGCCTCCAAAGGCCCCCTTTCCAAGACACTCACCATTCCACCACGAGTCCTCAGTTCATTGAAATGGTGGATGCATCCACACAATGTACTACGGGGTGTACCATTTCATTAGCCGACGCCGACAGTCACCATCACGACTGACACTTCTGTCATGGGATGGGAAGCTCATCTCGTACCCCATAGTGTATAAGGCAAATAGTCCTTCAGTGAGCAAGTGCTGGGCTGTACATTTGGCATACCTCCCCTTTCTGCCCCATATAGCACACAAGACCATCAGTATCATGACAGACAATACAACCTGCATGGATTATATCAACTGACAGGGTGGGGCCTGGTCACCTTCCCTCTGTACGGAAGCCCTCAAATTATGGAACTGGTGCCTTGCACACCAAATTACTCCCATAGCCACGTACCTCCCTGGAGTACTCAGCGTTACAGCGGACACACTCAGCCGCATCTTTTACGACCATCACGAATGGGAGATAGCTGCCCAAGCCCTCGAACACATTTTCTTTCGATGGGAACAACCAGACATAGACCTCTTCACAACCAGAGCCAACCGCAAGTGTCACCTTTATTGCTCCAGGACAGCCCTGGGGAAGGGCTCTCTGCGAGATGCTTTCTCTCTCAAATGGGAAGCTCCTTAGCTTTACACATTCCCACTGCTCCCCTTACTCCGCAAGATTATCACCAAAATCAGAATAGAAGCCTGCATGATCCTTGTTGCACTGGCTTCGTTGAGACAAACATGGTTCTCTCCCTTGCACAGACTGGCAATAGCGGATCCGTACAACTTTCCCCCCCAATGCAATCTTCTCACTCAGCATCACAGCAGAGTTCTCCATCCCAAACCACAGAAACTCCATGTCCATGCATGGCTCCAGAATGCCGAAACATCTGTTCCGTTAGAGTGAAGCAGATATTAATCAACAGCAGAAGAGAGTCCACCAGAAAAGCTCACCTTTATAATAAGTGGACCAGATTCTCCGATTGGCTCAAACACAGTCATCCCATCCTTCCTGATACCATCCATCCCCATCATTTCGGACTACCTATTAGAACTAAGGGAGCCAGGCATATATTTTAATACAGTAAAGGTACATGCGGCAGCAATAGCGGCCTTTCACCGGACCACCGACGGCAACGCTTTCTTTTCAGTTCCAATCACCAGATGATTCCTTACTAATCTCCAAAATATTTTCCCGTCCATTTGGCCTCCAGTCCCCATTTGTGACCTCAGTCACTTCCTTAAGAGTTTGACTAAAACACCCCTTGAGCCTCTAGGAACTTGCTTGTGATTACTCCTATGCATAGAAGTCACCTTTTTGGTGGCCATAACCTCCAGCAGGAGTGTGGGGAAGCTTGCAGCATTAATGGCAGACAATATTCACTAAAGACAGAGTAATTCTTCACCCTCACCCCAAATTCCTCCCAAAGGTCCCTTTTCCTTTCCATATCAACAAATCCATACACTTACCTGCGTTCTTCCCCAAGCTGTCCTCTAATCCATCCCAGGCTGCATGGCATACAGAGCACTTGCATTCTACGTAGATTGAACAAAATCATGGAGAAAATCACCCAGATTCTTCCTGTCCTTCGCTGAATGTTCTGAGGGCCAAGCAGTCTCCTCCCAGTGGATTTCCAACTGGATCTTATCATGCATCCACACGTTATACAAAAAACAACCTCATGACAATATCACCAACCACTCAGCCTGGGCCGTGCTTGCTGCAAAAATGTGCCTCTAGAGGATATTTGCAAGGCAGCCACCTGGTCATCTGACCATACGTTTGCAAAACACTACACACTTATCTCTACCGTTGTGTCATTTATGGCTGTTGGACAAGCAGTGTTGTCCTTAGTGGCAGGGCTCCGAACCTGCCTCCATGATTCAACTATTGCTTTGTAGTCATCCAAAGTGGAGTACTCATGGGGTCATCAGTTGAAGAAGAAAAGAGTTACTCACCCTGTGCCGTAATGGGAGATCTTCAAGATGTGTCCCCCCGTGGGTGCTCCACTACACTCTCCCGTCCCCCCGCTTTGGAGCTTTCTTGGTCCAGTGGTAAGGGTAGAGAAAGAATGGAGGGACCCACACTACGTATGTGCCTAATAGACAACAACGACATGAGGAGGCACCAGAGCACATGTGTGATGTGGCAAACGCTGCTGGAAAAAATCTGTGGTCGCCAGCACAAGGACGCACCAACACCCAGAGTGGAACACTCATGGGGGGACATCTTGAAGAACTCCTGTTACTACACAGAGTGAGTAACTCTCTTTTTCCTGTAATAGCGATGTAGCCATGTTAGTCTGGTCTTGCTGAAACAAAAAACAGAACTATGTAGCCCTTTAAAGACTAAGAAGATGGTTTATTAGGTGATGAGCTTTCGTGGGCCAGACCCACTTCCTCAGATCAAATTCCTCTTTTTCCTGCACATTTTAGGGCTCCCATTCCCTGCCCTCCCTGGTCCTGGGGGTCAGTGTCCCTCTACAGGTTGGCATGATCTTTGCCCAGTGAAAGAGCCTTTACACCAGGGGTGGGGAAATAATTTTTGTTGGGGGGGGCCCCCACACTCCTCCATGATATTAATGGAGGAGGTGCAGTGTCTGGGATGGAGGTTGGGTGCAGAGGGAGCTTGGGGTAAGGGGTTAGGGTGCAGAAGGGAGTGTGCGGCTGTGAGGGAGTTTGGGTGAAGGAGGCAGTTGTGACCTGGGGCAGGGGATTGAGGTACAGGAGGGGGCAGGGTTTTGGGTTGGGACCTGGAGCAGGAGGTTCTGGGAGGGTAGGAGGGGGCAGAGGGCTTGGGTTTGTGGGGTAGAGGGCAGGCTGTGGGAAGGGAGAGGCTGGATTGCCGGAGGCAGGCGCTGGCAGGGATACTTACCTGGGTGACTCCCAGCCAGCAGCCCAGCGTGTTCCTGAGGCGGCAGCCTCCCTGCTTGCTCTGCCCCTGCACAGGCTGCTGTGGCCATTTGCATGCATGAATAACTATGAGCCGGGGGTGTGTGTGCAGAAACTGGCCAATGGGCTTGTGCTGGGGGCGGGAGCCGCTCATGAAGGCTTCCCCCCATTCCTTTCCGGGCTCGCAGTAGTGAAAGAGAAACAGCCTGGCTGCGGTGTGCGGGTTGAGGGAGGCAAGCAGGGGGCCTGCGTGGGGCTCCCCGCTGTGTTCACGGGCCAGATCGGTGGCTTAATGGGCTGGATCCAGCCGTCAGGTTGTGTTTTGCCCAGCCCTGCTTTACATAGCGATATCCTTCATGTGTATTTATTAAACATTAATCAACATCATTGTAGCGAGGTGGAGTCGCCGCCCACTGACCCTGAAGGGGAAGAGCCCCTCCGTGAGCCCTCGTGGGCCAAGCCTGACCCCACCCCTCACGTGGCCAGGGCTATAAAAAGCCAGCCCAGAAGCTCAGTGAGAGGTCAGCCAGCAGAGGAACCAGATGTCGTCTCAGAGCCACTGGGCTGCGAGGCTCAGGATTGGCCTGGACCCCTGGGACCACTGCTGGAGCTACTGATCCCCAACAGCCCAGGGAACCTGCTGTAGAACCAGGTTTGTGCGGAGGGGGAGAACGGAAGTGACCACAGTTTGGCTGAGCCAGAGCTGGAGTTAGTGTGTTGTGATTTGGATTCCCGCTGACCCATCCGCAGGCTGCTCTGCATCTATTAGGGCCCTGGGACACCGTGGAGTGGGCGGGCCTGTGTTCCCCCTGCCAACCAACCAGTGGGTGGCAGTCTCCCGCCTCCACCACTTCAGGCCCACTGCCTGAGAGTGTTGGTTTTCTGCCCAAGCAAGGAGACCCAGCTATTTGCTTGCTTTGCTGCCCCACCCTGAACCAGGGCTCGGGCTATGAACTATAATTAGTGACTGTTTGTGTTGCTGCCTTGCCCTGAACCAGAACCAGGGCATCTAACTACCTGAACTGGCTTATTGCCCGGTTAACTGGGCTGATCATCGGCCCGAGACCCAGGACTAAAAGGGGCCCTGCGGACGGAGGCGGAATGGCTGCCCACTGACCCGGAAGGGGAAGAGCCCCTCCGTGAGCCCTGTCCTGCTACAGTCATTTACTGGCTAAGCATACAGTGCTCACTGCTCCCAGGAACATAGACAAGCTTCTCCTAATGGGTTTCTCTAGTCAGGATTGGATTGTTCTGGGCTCTGGCTTCTGCAAGGTATTGAGTTCTGGCAGCTTTGAATTTGCCTGTGTCCCAGAGTTAGGTTCTAAACAACTTTTTTTTAGGCCCTTGTTTATCTTGTTAAACTTAGGTCCTGCTTATTTGTACCTTGACTGGAAGATAGCTAACATGACACCAGTATTTTAACAGGGCTCTAGAGGCGACCCTGGCAATTACAGGCCAGTAAGTCTAACATCAGTACTGGGCAAATTAATTGAAACTATAGTAAAGAATAAAATTGTCAGACACATGGATGAACATAATGGCTACGCTACGTCTAGACTGGCATGATTTTCCGCAAATGCTTTTAACAGAAAAGTTTTCTGTTAAAAGCATTTGTGGAAAAGAGCGTCTAGATTGGCATGGATGCTTTTGCGCAAAAGCGTCCGTGCCAATCTAGCCGCGGTTTTGCGCAAGAAAGCCCCGATCGCCATTTTCGCCATCGGGGCTTTTTTGCACAAAACTGTTTTTAGCTGTCTACACTGGCCCTCTTGCGCAAATACTGACGATCTAATGTAAGATTGTCAGTGTTCTTGCGCAAATACTATGCTGCTCCCGTTCAGGGAAAAAGCCTTCTTGCACAAATACATTTGAGCAAGAAAGCTTTTTCCTGAACGGGAGCAGCATAGTATTTGCGCAAGAACACTAACAATCTTACATTAGATCGTCAGTCTTCTTGCACAAATTCAAGCGGCTAGTATAGACAGCTGGCAAAATTTTCTGCTTTTGCGGAAAAACTTGCCAGTTTAGACGCAGCCAATGTGTTGGGGGAAAGTCAGCATGGATTCTGTGCAGGGAAATCATGATTTATTAATCTACTGGAGTTCTTTGAGGGGATCAACAAGCATACGGACAAGGAATATCCAGTGGATATGGTGTACTTAGAGTTCCAGAAAACCTTTGACAAGGTCCCTCACCAAAGGCTCTTAAGTAAAGTTTATTGTAAAGTTAATTGTCATGGGATAAGAGGGAAGGTCCTTTTGTGGACTGAGAACTGGTTAAATGACATGATACAAAGGGTAGGAATAAATAGTCAGTTTTCAGATTGGAGAGAGGTAACTAGTGGTGTCCTCCAAGGGTCCATCCTGGGACCAGTCCTATTGAGCCTATTTTTAAATGATCTGGAGAAAGGGGTAAACATTGAGGTGGCAAAATTTGTAGACTAAACTTCTCGAGATAGTTAAGACTTAACTCAAGATAATTTGCAGAGTGTGAAGAGCTTCAAAAGGATCTCACCAAACTAAGTGAAGTTTTTCTTCATGCAACACACAGTCAGCCTGTGGAACTCCTTTCCAGAGGAGGTTGTGAAGACCAGGATTTTAACAGGGTTCAAGAAAGAACTAAATAAATTCCTTGAGTTTATTAGCCAAAATGGGTAGGAATGTTGTCCCTGGCCTCTCTTAGGCAGAGGCTGGAAATTGATGACTGCAGAGGGATCTCTTGATGATTACCTCTTTCTATTCACTCCTTCTGGGGCTTTTGCCATTGACCACTGTCAGACGACGGGGTACTGGGCTAGATGGACCTTTGGTCTGACACAGTACGGCCGTTCTTATGTTCTTAAGCAATTGTTTTTTTGTAAAGAATTAGGAAATAATTTGTTAGCCATTCCTAGTCACATTAATTCCTACATACAACAATTAAAATGTAAAACCAGTAATGCAATAGAAAGAAACACCTGAAAGTAAAATAAAATGGAATGGTAGATTTCACAACTGAAACTGCTGATTATCAGTTTTGCTGGACAAAATGATACCTTGCAAAGCATTTCTTTAGCCATTTTCTGCTCTCTCTCTCTCTCTCTCTCTCTCTCATATCACTGGTTGAAATGCTTTTATTAACAACCATATAGTCTGTTGTTTCGCACATTTTAGATGGGATATGGACTCCCCACTTTTAGTTAATCGTGGCTGCTGCACCTTACTGAAAAGAGACCTCAGATGGACCATTGGGTGGATTCACTCAATATGGCCATTTAGTTTGGAATAATCATAAAAGGATTTACTCTCAAAGAACTCTGCTTCATTGAACAGAAGAGAGAACCTTATTGAACCTAATTCATGCTTTTGTCTAGAGCAAAGGACCATTCATGGTGTAGAGTGCTTAGTCATTGAACAGCTTCTTCCTAGAAAGCTCAATTCCTTTCTCTGTGCCAGTCTCAGGTTCACCCCTCTGCAAAGTTAAAAAGAAAGCAGACCTGTAATATTCATATGGACTTTTTCACTTTGTACAAAACACTTATTGTCTGTACAGCATGGAATCCAGTTGCTATTAGTTACTAAAGGTAGTTGATATCCCGATTCAATGGGATAAGGTTGCATTATTCCTCCAGCAGTTGGTGATACCTCTGTCCTTGTAAAAAACAAGTT